AATAAATGATAAAATAAATAATCTGTATATACATATATATTTTATAACATTAGCATAGACTTCAAAACATTAGCAGAAGGGGAGAGGCACAGAGCTGTACGGGAAGAAGCCACATGGAAGAAGGATGGGTCTAGTGGAAGAGGAACAGGAAAGCCCCCAAGTGGCCAAGACAGTTGCTGGGGAACATGGACCAACATGGTAACAGCAGCTGGATGCGGAGGGATTTTGATGTTTTTCTGGTGGGTGAGAGCATGGAGCCCACAGTGATAATGGAGGGGTGAAGCGGTCTCTAGTCCCTAAGGACTCTTGAAACTGAGAGGCCAGCACTCCCCATTAGGGAAGCAGAACTAAATCCGAACTGGATTGTGGCAGCAGAGATGAAGGAAGAGAAGCCAGGGCAAAGAACAGAGTCGGGAAACCTCAGGCCTGCAAACACCACACACACTACAGGGCAGGACCCTGTGAAGTCAGCTTTTCTGACTTCAGAGCCACACCTTTCAACTAAAGCATGTCTTCTGCTAAAGGGTCAAGACGAGTTTTACATAGAAATAAATAGCAGAAAAGGATCAGGGTCAAGTTGCATAAAAGCTTATTCATAAAGAGAGAATAGGGAGCTAAATAAGGTTAAGTCCTCACACAAGATCAAAACCGTAACCTACCATTTCAAAACGGAAGTGAAAAGCATTAGGAAAGTTATACACACATGAAAGGCGAATATAAACACAATCTGAAAACTTACAAAGGATGGGATAGACCTTGGGAAAGAACTCAAGAATTAAAGGAAATTTTTAGTTCAGAAATAAAACTGAAAAGGAACACAAGAGCAAATAAACACAACTCACACATTAGGTACACAAAGGTAAAAGAAAAGGAAAATTTTAAAAATGAAAATAGAGATTCAAAAGAGGGCTGGAAAGGTAACTCCGAGGTTCAGAGCACTGGCTGCTCTTCCAGAGGACCCGAGTTCCCTTCCCAGCAGCCACATCAGGCAGCTCACATCGGCTGTAACTTCAGCTCCAGGGGGCTCTCCCACGCTCTACTGTCCTCTGCACACACGTGGCATAGCCCCACGCAGCCACTCACACATTCACATAAACAACAAATGAGTTTAAAAACTCTGTTTTAAAAGATGTAAAAGAAATTAGCAACTACTGGTGAGAGGAATAAATCTAACATATAACGATGGGAGTCCCGAAAGTATAAAACCACAGAAAGCGCGCAGTATAAACATTCTTTGCCACCCCCCCACCCCCCATGCTTCACGCGTACTTGTTTTGAGCCAAGGGTCTCTCACTCTAGCCTGAAATTCACTATGTAGCCCAGGCTGCTGCAGTATTCCTGCTTCAGCCTCAAGCATGCTGAGATTATAGGTATGAACTTTTATACCTGGGTTCTGGGCATTTCTTTAAAAATATCCAAGAACCTTTATACTGAATCAAAAAAAAAAAAAAAAAAAGGTGGGGGGTGGGGCAGAGAGATGGCTCAGTGGCTGTTCTTCCAGAGGACATTGGTTTCATTCCCAGCACCTATGTGGCAGCTCACAACTGTCTATAGCTCCAGTCCCATGGTAACCGACTCTCTCTTCTGGCCTCCAAAGGCACCAGGCATGCACATGGAGCACAGAACATGCTGGGGAAAACACCCCACTCCATAAAATTTTAAAACGAAAAACGACATATTTAGGAGCTGGGGATGTGCTCCGTGGTAGAGCACATGCTTATTGCGTTCAGTCATCAGCATCAAAATTCAGTGAGCAACGGGACACCTGTGTTTAGGAAGAACACAGAATAGGATATTGACTTAGAACGATGAACCAAGACATGCTCACATGGCTGGGAACTTTTAGGCTGGGCTTGTGAAGACTGAACCTCGGAGCCAGGGAAAGAAAATTAGCTTAGTTTCAGGTGCTTCAGAATGTTTGAGATAAGTGGAGCAACAGTTTCCAGGGTCTTAAGAGAACAAAAGCTGAGAGTTTTGTATGCAGAAAACCTGCCAGACACAAAGGACAATGACACTTACCAATATGTAAGATTCAGGGAGTTGAGTTCCCATGAGTCTTCCTGTGGACATGTCAGAAACACAAAGTCAAAACAACCAGATATAGCAACTCCAAGGCTAAGAGGGAATATTTAATACATGACCACTTGTAGAATTAAGATTAAGTGAAGGATGATAGGGAGCATGTTTTGTGTACACTGGCTGTATACTCAGACAACGTAGATATAGGAAAATACTACTTTGGAAAAATAAAGGTAAATACAGACAGCAAGCGGAAAAGTGTGACATCTACCCATCCACTTGATTGCAGAAATGATAGCATTGTTATTCTGAGCCGTTTGTGAAAACCTAGTAGTTTTTAATTTGAATTGGAATATCAGAATGAACTATTTTATTTATTTATTTATTTATTTATTTATTTATTTATTTATTTATTTATTTATTTATTTTTGGTTTTTCAAGACCAGGTTTCTCTGTGTAGCCCTGGCTGTCCTGGAACTCACTCTGTAGACCAGGCTGGCCTCAAACTTACAGCTCCACTTATCTCTGCCTCCCAAGTGCTTAGATTAAAGGTGAGCGCCACCACTCCTGGAGGAGTTATTTGGTCTTTAAAAATAGGTATTTACATACCTTGTGTCTGAAATTCGGCTTTGAAATACTATTTCCCACATAAGAAACCAGGGAGTGTCGGGAAAATAGCAGATTCCAGGTCTGTGGTGTGAGAGGTCGAAGGTGATCCTAAAACCGAGTCATATCAGATAGTGAGGAGGCCATCGAGAATGCTGGGTCATCTCAAAAGGATTCAAGGGCCAGTGGAAGAGACTAAGCCAGACATGAGACATGCCAATCTGCAGGTGGTTTGGAAGCCATAAAACTTGTCAAATGCATGTGTGAACACGTGCATATATGTAAAGTTCAAGACAAATAAACCAAGTTAGCTTTGAGCAGTGAAAGAAAACGTTCATTAACTGTTAACATGTAAACATGGGGAATGAACCAGGCATTTAAAAATGCACCCCTGGTTAAAGAAACAACAGAGGGAGAGATGCATCGTTTTAAAGAATTCTTGTAGCAAGTAAATTAAGAAGTAACAGGTTAGAATAGTTTATAGCCCTCGGTGAATTAATAGACCTAGGCAGTTAGCATCAACCTCTACTTAAGTTACAAAGAGACAACCAGTCGCCATGTGCTTCTCAGTGGACCACCATTGCGGCCATGCCAGGGGATCACACCTGAGTCTCAGCAAGCTTTCAACCCCTCTGCCCTGTATTTGCAGGAATAATAATTAATATTACTTATTTAAATATTATTATAAAAAAATAAATAAATGCTCTGTATTTGCAGGAAATACAGAGGACAGTGAAGCATGTTAAACCATACCAGGGACAAGTGGACAGGCTAATACTGAGGGCAGGAAGCTGTAGCTCAAACTCCAGCTTCTAGGGGCTTCCACGGATCAACTGTTTGGGAAAGTGTGTAGGGGAACCCTGGGCACAAAAAGATTCCAAAGACATCAAAGTTTTTTAAAAACTGGCAAAGAGAAACTAACCTTTTTAGAAATGTTAGTTGGACCAAAAAGCCACAAAATCAATGGAAGGAAGTGATTCCCAAAGCCAGTAAATGGTGAGTTTGGGGCCGAGGGAAACAGTTTGGATCACCACAGACCACAAAGAAAGCTTTGGATGTACTCAACAGCAGTTCTGGTTCTTGAGCTGGGGAGGCTTTAGAACAACCCAGTAAACTCCATATTTGTTTTGTTTAGACATTTATATTTCATTTCATTCACAAAGGGGCTTTAAATTCACACAACCCTTAGCCAGCATGTCTGTGACTAAGGATCTGCCTATAAAATAAACCCAGGGGCTGGAGAATGGATTAGCAGTTAAGAGTACTGGCTACTCTTCTAGAGGGCCAGGGTTTGATTCCCAGTACCTGCATGGAGGTTCACAGCCATCTGTAACTCTATTTCTAGGATCTTGTGTCCTCTTCTGGCCATGGACACCAGAGGCACATGTGGTACACACACAAATGCAGTGAAAACACCCACAAACATAAAATAATAAAAGATTTAAAAATAAGATAAACCTATTCAAACGCACAAAGGTGAGTGTGTCCACTATAATGGCTAAGGAATTGAGAGGGCGTAGAAGCAAATTCCTACTAGATAAGGACTCTGAATAATAACTCATGCTACATCCATACAATGGAATATTTTGGCACCATGGGAATTGAAGCAGGTCTATATGGCTACCCAAACATACCATTTACATGTGTGGTGATGGAGATGAACCCTGCCTGGGCTTTGAGTATGCTAGGTAAGCATTCTTTACCACTAAGTTACATTGCCAGCCCTCCAAACATATTGTTAGATATAAAAGGAGCAAAGTATATAACGTTATTATATACCAAATGTGAGAAGGAGAAGACAACATCTACATGTGGAAGGCTACCTAAGAAACCGCTACACTCTACCTCTGAAGATAGAATAGGACTGGGGATGGGCTCAAATGTGAGGATTTTCTATGCTTTTATATTTTTAAAAGTATACCTGTGTTTTCTTTGTGTGTTTTAAAAGCCAACTGCTTTGTTGTTGGTGGTGTTGCTTTGTTTTCTGTTTTTTGTTTTGTTTTCTTTTTTCAAATTTGTCGTCATTTGCCAGCATCTCAGTGAATGGGGGATAGGACCCAGGAAGTGACATTTATTACAGGAGAAACGATCTTTCTGCCTTCATGAGAAAATGGAATGTACTAGCCAGGGTTCTCTAACAGAAGGGAACTGATGGAATGAATATGCAAAGCTGGAGGGCTGGTCTGGTCTACAGTATACACCAGAATCCTGAAGAAGTAGGCTCTAATACTAGTGAAGGAATGGGCTCCCTAGCAAGAACAAGCAGGCCCAGAGCAAAAGCTTCCTTCTTCCGTGTCCTTTAAACAGGCTGCCAGCAGAGGTGTGGTCCAGATGAAAGGTGGATGTTCTTAGCTCAAAGGATCCAGATTATTAAAGGTGACTCTTCCCACTTCAAATAATAGAATTAAGAAAACCCCTTCGCAGATGTACCCAGCCTCCTGGGTTTTAGTTAATTTCAGATACAGTCAAATTGACAACCAAGAACAGCCATCACATGGAGTTAGCACTTCTTTTACTAGAAACCCCGGGTCGTTATAAAGCTAGTAACATCAAGGCTAGGGCTGCATTTGAAAACCCCACGTTCTAACAATGTCTTCCTCCTGCTCATGATGCAAAAGCAAATATTTCTGCTGCTCACTTTGTAAAGGAGTTTAGTCAAGTACACAACACATGATGTAGAACTATAATAAATATAGCTGAAGTCACTTGTTCGTCAGCTCTCTGTTGAGTGTAAAGTTGTATCAAACCCCGAGGTAGTGCTGGGGGTACAACAGAGAACAGGACAGATAAAGTCCTGTCCTCAGAGAGCTGACCCACCCATTGACCACATAGCTGAGAATTTTCTTCACTGACTGGAATAGTTTGCATTGCAGGCAAGATGATTTGGACTTCTCAGTGGCATATGGATCATACAAAGTAAAACAAAGCAAAACAAAAACAATTTACTGATGGATATAAGGGATTATGAGCCACATAGATTTTTTGGAGCATTTTTTTCTCCAAAGATTTTGTTTTTAATCTTAAAGCAGAAGCTTATTATGACTACATTATAAAATTAAGGTTGATGTGGTAGGAGCCCTGCAGATGGTTCCCATGATTCTACTCCCTGGTGTCCACACCCTTGGAAGACTGTCTTTCGGAGTGTGAGCGGGTCCTAGTGCCTTGATTCTAAGAGATAAAAACCCTTAAAAGGTGATGGGACAACAATTCCCAGATTAGGTTACAAACCAATGTGACTTCCCATCTTCATTTCATGCTGTCTTGGCTTTCCCTTCCACTTTGGCTTGGAGAGAAGCCGGCTGCAATATCGTAGGAGCTGGAGAGAGGTCTTCCTGGCATATGGCATGGAACCGAGGCAACCTCTGGCCAGCAATCAGCAAGGAACTGGGGTCCTGGGTCCAATAGCTTGTGGAGGACTGGAGCAAAAGTGCACTGGAACACTGATCCTGAGCCAACGGAGCCTTTGGATAACTGCAGCATTCCAGCAAACACCAGAATTGCAATCTTGAGAGAGCCTCAGTGTGAAGCAGCGAAGCCGGCCGAACTGCACCTGGAGAAAGAATGATGATGAATGCTGTTTTGAGATTCCAGTTTGGGGGTGCTTGTTACCCGGCAACAGGCAACCAATATAGTTGACTAGGCAATCACTCCCCTTTGGAAGTAGATCACACAGGCCTGGTAATGCCTTTGGGAGCGTCATTTCTCACATGGGCAAATGTGGCAAAGCCATGATGGAATGTACGGTGTCACTGGGCCTTGTGTCATCGTTCCAATGATCTAACTTTGCTTCAGAAAGCTTAGCTGAAAGGGACCTAAAAAAAAATCTTGTTACTTTTTTTCTGGCAATGAGTTTTTTCAGACTCACTCGACTTGAAAAAGCTTTAATTTGAAAGTAATTTCATTAAGAATCATTCTAGACATTGGTGTTATTCTGCACAGATAATTGTTTTCTGGAGTCATTTGCTTTTCTCTATTGTCTGCATTCCTTTACCTTTCTTTAGAATTTTTCCTCACTCTTCAGCTTTGACTGCAGGATAAGATGCCATTAGAGTAAGACCTCATATTGCTTCCATTTTCAACTCCCTTCCCCCACCCTCCCTGCCTGTCTGTCAGTTGTATGTATCTGGCTAAAAATACATATTTTTATATTCCAGCTATTGCTCTGAAAGCTTTGCATGGCATCCTTTTTATTTCTTATTGAATGGAGAAAAATGAATAAATTCTGTTTTAAGAAATAAATCATGTAACTATTTTTAGTAGTTTTTATTTGTTTTGTTTTTTGAGACAGGGTTTCTGTTTCTTTGTGTAGCCTTGGCTGTCCTAGAACTAGTTCTGTAGACCAGGACAGCCTCAAACTCACAGCAATCCCCCTGCCTCTGCCTCCCAAGTGCTAGGATTAAAGGCAAGTGCCACTACCACCTGGCTAGTAGTTTCTATTTGGAAAATAATTTTTGCACTAATTTTTGTAGACATTTCAGATTAGATGGAAAGCTATAGGTAATCCATATGTTGGAGGCCTTGAATTAGAGGAGGCCTCCTCCCCACAAAAAAACCCAGTGTGATGCAGAAGGAAAAGATGACAAGGAAAGATTTTGTGCATCAGTTTAGTTTGTGATCCAGGTTCAGCATTTCTGTGTTTGGCATGAAACACAAAATGATCCAAAGATTATTCTGACTGAATCAAGAGTACCGGCTTTCTGAACCACAAAGAAAAAAAAAAGAAGACAGGACAACAAACAGCACATTCCATTTCCTCCTAAAATATTTAAGGGGCGAAGCAAGCAAGCTACATCAGGAAAATGGCCTCGGAAGAACACGGTAATTATTTATGTCTTCTACAAGAAACTAAAGAAGAGCTGATGTTAAATGAACACTCTCTGAGATGAGGAAGCCGGCCACCCCTGTGCTGGACTGGGGATTTCACAAAGCACTGGTCCCTTCTCAGCTGCAGCACAGTCCGGAGGCTCCAAAACCCCCCTCCCCACCACCAGCAGCAGTAAAATATGATCACACGGGAGATTCACATGAGGATATTTCGTTTTATTTGATTGGCAGCCTTAAAAGATACATGGCCCCAGAGCACGAGGGGACCTGAGACCCGGGCCTCTTATCGTGTGGTGTGGCCTTAAGCGGCTTCTCTGACATCAGCTGATGCTCTGGGAAGGACTAGGGGTCCAGCATGTGTGACTGGGTGTGGAGGAGCTTGAACTCAGGGTTTTGTGCAAGCTAGGCAAATGTCTTGTCCCTGAGCTACATCCTCAGCCCTGGGATCAGGTGTCTCAAGAAGTACAGGGCCCATTGGGTGGTCCTTCCCATCACAAGGGCAGGTCCCAGTCTGTGCGGTCCCTTAGGGTCACCCCTCAGCTGATGGCCTGAGAAGACGGGTTCTGACAAGAGGTAAGAGGATGCCCGTGCTGCATTTGGAATGATAGATTTTTCTAGTCTGGGTAAAGAATAAAGATCTCCCCTATAGACTCATTCAGGACTAAAGCCCGGAAGTCTAGCCACAGGCCACTCCTGGGGCAACGACACACAGAGCCAGCTAGGACAGAAAAAGGAAGGAGGAAAGTTTTTCTTTAGAGTCATTTCTAGACTGAAACTCCTTGCATTCCCATTCCCATTTTAGAGTTGAGGTAACTGAGACAGGGGCATAAAAGCCAAAGGCCCCAGCTGGTTACTATGGCGCTGGCTATCTATCCCTGCTGCATCGTAATGTTAGCCTCCTCCCCAATCCTAATCTCTGCCTCAGTTTCCACCGGCCTCGTTAATTGAGTCATATGTCCCACAGAGACCCCACATAGTGCCCTGGAAACAAACATGTGGAAGGTTTTTATGTATTTTTTCTTTAGCAGGCATGGGGATGCACGCCTTTAATCCCAGAACTTGAGAGGCAGAGACAGACAGATCTCTATGAGTTCAAGTCTACCCTGGTCTATATGAGGAATTCCAGGCCAGCCAGAGCTACATAGTGAGATCTTGACTCAAAAAGAAAAAATATATCATTACATTTTTATTTATTTAGTGTGTGTCATATGTGTGTGTATGCATGGGTGTGCGTGCGTGCGTGCGTGCGTGCATGCGTGCGTGTACACGCGCACACATGAGCATGTGCATGCACCCTGGCATGCATGTGTAAATTAAAGGGCAACTTTCAGGAATCCATTCTTTGCTTCTCCCATACAGCTCCAGTGGGTCTAATTCACATTATCAGGCTTAGCAGCAAGCGCCTCAACCCTACTGAATCCTCCTGACAGCCAGAAAGTCTCACTGAAACACCATGGACCTACCCAAGGCTGACTTACTTGTGTTTGTCAAAATCTCTTCATTCCACGGCACTGTACAGCAGGCCTTACAGGGATTCAGGGAAAAATTAGGCTGTGTTTTGTTTCTCCTGGCTCTCCATATTCTCACACAGGAGAAGGGAGATCCCGAGAGTCCCCAGGATATAAAAGGTCACCTTTAGGTGCAAGGCAAAATCTCAGAGACACAATCACCTTCCACAGACACCCCCAAGGATGGCCTTTGGGGGGACCCAATTCTTCCTGTGGCAATGATGCATATGGATGGGCTATTTGGGGAAAGGCGGGTTAGTGAACTGTTGGTGTGTGGGTGAATCTTTGGTCTTTCTCAGCCTCATCTGGCTGGCAAGGCCATGTCTTTCTCCCCTAGTCTCCAAGAGTAACTGCTCAGCTGCATCTAAGTGAGGAGAGGAAGACACAGAAGTACTAAGAAGTACTGAGAATCGTTACCGTATCAATGTGCAAATGATAGGTCTCACTGGCCAGGGCAGGGATAATTAGAATAAAGTTCTAACTCTTCGGTATGTTCTAGGCATGGTCCCTTACATATTCCTTCTCATTTGTCTAATGCTGATCTTGGAGAACAGGCTGTTCTCCATTGTGCTTGGCTACTTGGACAAACAAAAACATCAGTACAGATGTTGGCTGACTTGGCTTGACATGATACCCCCTCCACACACACAAATTAAGGCAGAAAAGCGTTGGGCTATTGTGGGAGCTGTGGGAGTCCTTCCAACACTTTCTCATCTATCCCATTATTAGCAGCAGACTAGCCAAGGGACCACATTACACACAGAGACCTGAGGTCATGAATGGGAACAAATTCCTATCATTCCAACTCTGATTGATTAGTGCTGAGGTCACTGTTAACTAACGATCGCCGGTTCCGGAATCTACATGACTCAGTGAGTGAATAAAGCCTAAATGAACCACACTTGAGCCTGCAGACATAGGTTTTTCTTGTTGCAATGGTGGGGGGAGGGGGGGAGGACCACGACCCGAACCAAAAAGTAAACACAAACCACCAGCTGCGATCAGGCTGATGAAGCGAAGACTGCGGTAGGGGGGTCCTGGCAGTGCCCTGGCCTCCCTACAATCCATCCACCACTGACTGTTGCTGGCACGGCCGCTGCCATTGTCTCCCATGGCCCCTTCCTCACATATCCCATTGCCTTCTCAAGGCTCTCAGCCCCCCTCATCTCCTACCTCCTACGTGTAATAATAGCCCATACCAGTCTCCCTTTTTATAGCGCCCATGGCCCAGTATGGAGAGAACTTTCTGTTCAGGTCAGGCAACATTTTTGAAGCTGTTTAGTTTCTTTCCACCAATCTCTGACAGAGACTGGGTAGCCTCTTAGAGTCTCAAGAATCTTCGGACACCGTCAGAATTAAATACTGCTTTTCTGTTTGTGGCTCCTTGAGTACATCCACACAACTAATGGAAATGGTTCTCTCAAAGCTTTCAAAGTAAGCTGGAGTGGCTCTGCTGTCAATAATATCGAATGCTGCTTCTTGCCAACTTTCCACTTGGTGGAAGATGTTTCCTAAAGATGCGCCTTGTGAAGCAGCCACAGAACCAGCAGTGGCTGGGCCAAACCCTGATTCAAATTCTTGCTGGTGGCTCCTTTGCCAATGTTGTCCCGTGTTTCCACCTGTTGGAAATCTATCTGCCTGTCAATGTTGAAGAATGTCAGTCAGCACCTTTCAGATGTTGCAAACACAGTGTCCCACATTCAAAAACCTCCAATGTCCAAGAAATGGAAGCGACTGGATCTTGCTGCATTTTAATGTAGAAGCATTTATATGACATAGGAAGAAATTTCTATAAAGTAAGACTGTCAATGGCATTATTTGTGCTTTAAACACAATAGTCTTGTTTGTTTGTTTGTTTGTTTTTCAAGACAAGGTTTCTCTGTGTACCCCTGGCCATCCTTGAACTCCTCCATAGACCGGGCTGGTCTCGAACTCAGAGATCTGCCTGCCTCTGCCTCCCTAGGCCAGATTAAAAGTGTACACCACCACTCCCTGGCCACAAAGGTCCTTTTAACTCTTTGCCTATGCTCCAACCTCAAGCTATATTTATGAAACATCCTTGAACTTCACAGGCAATCTGCATGATTGCTATGATGCAACAATTTACAGATGTCTGAATGGAAACAAAATGTTTTAGATCTCAGGTAGACACAGGTCATACTTACTAGGGAAAGGAAAGACTTCATTCTAGCAGTTCTGACGGAAAAGCTTTAGAACTATCTAGCTAGGACTTCGAATAGATGTAAGATATAAGTTTTCCATCCAGGAAAACAAGAGTCTTGGTGAAAACTTTTGTTTTGATGGTAAAGGAGACGATCAGAGGAGTAATTAAACCAACTTCTATAGAAATTGACTAATTAAACTGATCAGACATGCTTGTTAGTTATTTAGTTTCTGGTACTGAGATTTCCTTCTCATTTTTTTTTCCTGCAAGTTATTTGTGGAGTCTATTCGGGTGAAAATGTTCTATCTTAACATGG